TGACAACAATGAATAAATATATTTTTTTTTTAAAAATTTAAATGAAAATTTTGCAAATTTTTTAAAAATATTTTTTTAAGAAATAGAGAACACCTAGACATATGCTTGAACAAAGGGGTAGGGCAAAGATGAGGAGAAGTTGATCGAGGTGAAGGATTGAGGTGGAGAACGTAGGCTTTCAGTGTTTCAAAAAGTATAACGCTATATGTAAAACTTGGAAAATAGTAGTATAATAATGCCAGGTTCTTTTTTTTTTTTTTTGTAGCTAGGCTTCTTTATAGGAAACGTAAGTTAACTATCAAAAAGCAAACGCTTATCAGTTCATTTTTATCAAGTTAGAAAATTTACAGGGACAGTCAATGCTCTAGCAAAAGATTAAATTATTTCCCCTTTATTGCTTTAAAAATTCTTACGCAATCAGTTGCTTCATTTGACGCCTCAATTTTCCACCTTTCTGATGATCTTACGACTTCTCAATTACTAAACTGCAAATTTCTCTCAATCTCTTTTGTTCTTATAACGTCTATGAAATTTGATTAACTTTCAACTGTGCACCTTCTGTTAACATAATTCTTCGTTGTTTTATCAGCAGTTGTTGTTACCAATTTTAGTCTTCTATTATTTTACGTCAAGCATTTTTCACAATATTCTTCATTTGTATCAGATGATGATCACAGACAGACTTTTCTGACAGTTGTTTTCAGTCCTTGTTTTGTTTGCAACCTTTTTTTTCAATTATACATTTTCGTTTCTTTTCTTTTTTTTTTTACAAGTATGCAAAACTTTGACCAAACATGACGGCAAAAAACTGTTGTTATAAACTGGTGCAAAAAAAAACTTCATTTTGTAACGGCAACTTATTGCAGGTTTCTCAAATTGTTTGACTTTAAAAAATACATATATAAATAAGAAAACAAAGAAGCAAGAAGTTTATCGGCTACCGTAACAGTTCCGTTGTTGCAGTTCACTGTTCCCAAAAACAGAACCTCACGTTTCAGCCTCGTTCGCTTTTCTTCGAACATGAATGCTTTATAAGGAGAAAAAAAAAAAGAAGCAGAATTTAGAAGAATAAAAAATTTAAAGATAAAAGAAAGATAAAAAAAGAACAAAAAAGGTGGAATTTGACGACTATGATTGGTAATCACGGACAACCGCAGATGAGCAATTTTCATCTGTTAGGTAAACGAAAAAGTTGCGCAAATGGCCTACAAACGTCTAAAAAATTTGGAAATTTATTCAGCTTTCGACAGGAATTGGCAACACTGATGGGCGAAAAAAATAAGGCAAATATTTTGAGCAGTTTAGCACCTGCTTAAAAAATTTGACTGTTGTCACTTAATCATTATGTACATTCTTATTTTAAAATTTTTTTTGAAAAACTACAAGTTTAAGATTTAAAATTTAGACCAAGTGAATTGTTCCTTTTATACTGCAATTGTATTTCAGTGGTTAGATGCTCAACGAAAAGCCAGCCTTTTGGTTCCACCGTATAACATTGACCAGTGGCAGCTGTTGCCCAGGTTTATTTTTTTTTTTTTTCAGTTTAAATAATCATCCATGACCAAATTACGTCTTTTTTTTTTTCTTCTTAAAATAGTTTGAATGTAAATTAAATTTAATTTTAATAGCCGAAAAAGTTATGTGAAATAAAAAATAAAGTTGGTAAATTTGAAAAGCAGCTGAACTGCTAAAGAAAAAAAAAAACAGGGCTTACTGCTAATGAAAAAATTACAGTCAAATAAAACCAAAAATAAAGCAGTAAAAGAGCTCTTTTTTCTGTAAAATATTTTGAGCACTTTAGGTAATTTTCAGAAAAAAAAAACACTTTAAAGAAATTTTTGTGAAATTTAAAAAAAAAAAAGGAAAAACAAAAAAACAAAAATAAAAAACAACGACCAGAATCACATAGGCTTTGGTGTGCTGCTAAAAAAAAAAACAGAACCTATTGCTTTATTTCAGTTTTTTATTGTTTCTTATTCTTTGTCTTCTGCCTCTCCTTCTTCTTCCTACCTTTCTTTCTACACTTAAGTATGTCTGACAAAAAAGGCTCAATAACGTTTCATATAAACGTTGAAAATACTAATCTGTTCTTGATAGTTTAGATTTTCTGCACTGTACCATAAAGTTGTGGCAATGATAGTACCACCAGAGCAACGTGAAGATCAAATCGCATTGATTGAACAAATTGTTCAAGAGTAAGTAGTAAAATAGAAAAAAAAATACGCAAAAAATTTTTACAATTTTTTCCATCTGATTCATCAGTCCTTTTTTGTAACAGTTATGTCATCATCATCATCATCATCATCATCAACATTACTCAATTTCTATAATATATGACTAATCGTTCCATTAAAATTACGTGTCAATGATATCATGCAAAAGGAGGGAAAAAAAAAAAAAAAA